GCATAGTATCGCAAAATTATTTTTTTTAAGGTCTGTTTGAAACTTTTATTATTTGACGGTAATGATATTTTCTATATATATGCATAATTTTGAAGAGGAGGGAAGATAATCAAGCAAAAGAGATTATCTTCAAATAGTAAAAGTTTCAAATAAATCTTAAGAAAAATCATTTTTAAGTAATATTTGCGATACAACATATAGTATAGAAAATATATCATCTTAAAAATAAGTGAAAGTTATAAATTGTGTTGTTTGGACGCTCAAACAGAATTCGTACAGTCGAAAAATTTAAATCTAATATCTTCTAAAATCAAATATACACGCGAAGCTCGTTTTTGTTAGAACAGAATGTATTTATTGTATAAATTAATTATTAATTAATATTTATTTTCTATAAATCAGGATTCTTTCCGTGTACGAATACTATTTAAATAAGAAAAAGGCATTTATTCATATTTTAGGATACGCTTTTCAGGAAAAGAATATAAATAAAAAGAAGATAAGCGAATAAACAAGAATTATACAAATAGCAAAAATAATGAAAATAATATAAATCATATATAATATAAATCATATCATCAATAATATAAATCATATATATGAAAATAAAAGTTAAAAAGAGAGAGAGAGAGAGAGAGAGAGAGAGAGAGAGAGAGAGAGAGAGAGTGAGAGAGAATTAAAACACGGCCTGCTTTTTTTAGCATTTTCATACTTTTTTCCGTTTTCCTATTATTTCTGCTATCTAGCGTATATCAAGGGAAAATGATTATCTAGCTGAAAAAAAGAATTGGTCGGAGGAAGAGGTGGAGGTGGAGATAACGAGACGGGAGCGAGACGGGGAAAGATTGCCCCGAGACAACCGTGAGGAGATCGCTTTCGAGATCATTAATTATCCTAGAAAGTGCGAGAACGGGCAAGATATATAGGGGGAGGTTGGTGGCAGCAGGAGGGAGGAAGTTGAACGAGCAATGGATAGAAAAGAGAGCGAAGGAGACGGCAAATGTCGCCACTGCAAACCGAAATTACTGTCGAAGATTAATGATCCTTTACGCTTTATTACAAGTATTTATAGACCTATCCTCTAAATTTCTCGTAAAGTTAACTTTGTACTATATAGCAGCAATACCATATCCTTGCTTGAATGTCGACCTTCATGAAATAGATTAAACTAATTCTAGAAAATTGCATTTTTTTTTTATTTTGTATTCACATATTCCAGTCATCTATCATTATCAGCTACCTGAATGAATAATAAAATGATACATTGAGAAAATAAAAAAATTTATCTTCTAATAGACATGGTTTTTCACGCATTCGATAATTGAAATTCTTTTTTTACCTAAAACTGTTTTTCTCTTTCAAAATCAAATTTATATAGAAAACAGATCTTTTTTACCTGCAGTCCTTTCTTGGAAAATTAAGTTTATATATAGAAACCTGGCCTTTTTGTTAAATTTTGCAAGGCAAATCTTACTAGTTGGATATGAATTCTGGGTAGTTATAGAAATATTTAGAAATATAAAGATATTTTAAAATATTTAGTATATTTTTTGAATTTTATTTAAATTCATTTTTTATTTAAATACATTGTTATTTCATTTTTTTCCAAATTATTTAATTAATAAAATTAAACTTTTTCTAACTTTTTCTCTCTTTTCTTTTTTTACGATAGTCCAAAAAAAATTTCTATAAAATTTCTAAAGAAATGTGATTACATTGATTGTGATTTAACGATCAATAGATATAGTATCTATTACAGATTTGAGAAAAAAAATCTCCTGAATTTCTCGAATTTTATTTAAAAAATTCGCTAGAATCGAAAAATACGTAAAACTGCGAGGGGACGTTGCATCGATATATTATCGTATCATGCCCGCATACCAATGGTACTCATCGCATTAATTAACTTCGGTTCGAACGTTTGCTCTACGTACGATGAAAAAGACTGGCGGAATGAAAAAAAAAAACAACATGCCTTCTTTAAATAAATCGCTGGGAGTGACGGTTGCGGGAAGGAAGATTAACGAGCGCGGTGTGTCGTTCGATTCGATACGTCGAATTAACGCGAGACAGAAACGAAGCTGCGTATATCGATTATTAATGACTTACAGGGATCTGCCAATGTAAATGTTAGCGATGCCGCGTGTACTTGTCGTAATCGTTGCTTTGATTGCTTAGAGACAAGTCCGTATCATGAATACCTAGGCTGACATATGGCCGTGAATTGAACGATAATAGTAGAAACGACGATTAATTGGCCGTAATTGGATGTAGCGACGACAATGGCATTCAAACGCGAATTATTAATTACACGCGCGTGGCATAAAAGCTTACCGTTGAAGCAATCGTTCCGCATTTTTACGCTGCTGGATCTCATTTTGAATACATTTAACGATTTTACACAGGGAACTCGTTTTCAGGAAACTAAATCGTTATTGCTCGTCTCTGCGGAGGCTAAAACGAATTCCAGTCGCGCTCGTTGCGCGTATATACGCGTACGTGGAGGGCGTGGGGATGAAAAAATCAACCACCGCCCTCCGTTCCCTGAGTGGCAGGTTCGCTAATACATACCCTCGCGTCCCGCCGCACCGCGTTCGCCTTCTCTCCTGCAATATCACCCCGGTTTCGTCGCTGTATATATACCAAGCTGAGATAGACGAAGACAGAAACGGTAGGGTCGCCGGTTAACGATGATATGGGTAACCAGGCAGAGGGAGAAAGAGAAAAAGAGAGAGGGAAAAAGAGAGAAGGAGACGGAAAGCGCAAGCCCATAATGTTGGGGGAGGATCCGACTATCTCGTGCCAATCTTCTTCGCATTTTCTCACACGAATATTCTTTCCCTTCTTTTAAATACGTCGAAACTCGTACTATACAATATTGCTTTTGGTTTATTGTTGTAATATTGCTTTATTAATAAATTGCAACGGATACCGAGAAATATACTTTATGCCAAATGTCACAATTTTATTACCTGAAAGTGGATAGAGAACCGATTATGACATCCGGGAATAGTTTAGCATAAAAAGAATATCTGGGATATTTTTCTATCAATCAATTCGCATCAGTCACGATAGTTTTCTCTACTGACTACTTCCGGATTAATAATAGCTCACAATAAATACATTCGAATTTGCTTCTCATTTTATTACATTTTTTGCAATTCATTTACAGATGAAAAAAAATCAATATTATATTATATAAGATAAAGATACGAATATGACAAATCACAAATATAATGGAACAGCAGGAGATTGTTGTATTATGATATTATCTGAAATAATAATATATGAAGATTAACCTCGTTAATTTTACGTCCCATAGACATATATGTTTATGTGTCGAATACAAACGTGCACTATTACTCGTTGCCTACGAATACATTATGAAAACACACCCCTGATGCAATTCGATGATTACAATCTCCTTTCCAGCAATTATCACATTCGCATAATCATCTGTGATCATTGCAAGAATATAAATTATTGAATTCGGAAAATCGAAATCTCTCGATAAATTAGAGACTTCTCAGACAATATGCATGTCTGAAAGACGTCATAGAGACATCTTTTGGAACATATATAAATATATATATATAT